CTGCTGGTAAAGGAGGTTCTGCAGGACAGGACAATCACAGAGAAGCAATAAGTGAGTATGTCATTTGGGTCAATGTCCAATCCGGGAGATTAGAAAAAGCTCCACAAATTGGACTGAATCATAAATGGAAACTTGACTTCCAACCAAAGTGGTTCAACAGGCTTATCCTTTTAAATACATTCTGATAGATTCATTTACTGACCCACTTAGGGTCTTGGAGCGCCACAAAGTGTAGGGAACCGAGCAAGGGCTGTGAAGTCACAGGGGCGGGGGTTTCAGTCCAAATTTTCTGCTTGCTGTGTTTCCCTGAGCGAGATATTCAACTTCTCTGCATTTATTAAAAAATAAGAAGGCTCCCAGCTCTTTGGCACCAAGGCTGTGTGAGCAATAGTTGAGGCAAGTTGCTGAAAAGGGCCTGGGACATGCCCAGTAGATGTTCGTTGCCCTAGTCAAGTTTGTTAGTAAAATGTAACAAGATTCCCTAAAGACCAAAGGAGAGATTTAGTCCATTTCTAGGAGGTGCAAAGCGGAGGTGGGAAGTGAGGTGTGGCAGGTAGTATACGTGCTGAATGCTGGGGCAGGGTGTAGGGGCCAGGGCACAGGCCCTGCCCGGGCGGGGAGCAGCTCCAGCTGGCCCGTGGGCCGTGGGCTTGTGGGCCATGCAGGCCTGACCTCCTGTCTTTCCACCAAAGCCAGAAGTCTGAACTGGCGGGTGTCCTCTCACAGCTTCGGGAGTGTTGGTGTGTTTTTAACCACCTGGTATTTATTGAGGACTCAGCATGTGCTACGAAGCTTCTAAGAGTTTTAACGTGTTGTTTCAATTGAGTCTCTCAGCAACTCCGTGAAGTACATTGCGATCATTATCCCTGTTTTACAGATGAGAAAATTTAAGCACAGAGGGTCAAAGTCACCTCCTGAGTGTTAGGCCATGGAGCAGCTGGGATTTCAACCAGATCTACCTGCCTCCAGTGCTCAGTTCTGAAATGCCTTGCGAAGCTGCCTCTGTGCTTTTAACTGACTTTGACATAATTTCAGAAAAGTTGCAAGAACTGTAGAAGAATTCCCATATACTCTTCACCCAGGCGCTTCGAGTGTTTGCATTTTACAACTTTTGCTTTGTTCTTCTTTCCCTTCTCCACCCCTCACCAGGCCCCACGCACGCGCACGTGTACACACACACACACACACACACCACACACGTTTCCCAGCTCTGAATGCTGAGCACGTCTAGAAGCAGTAACAACCCTATAGCGATAAGCAAACCTAGAGCCAACCTTGTTCTCTCATCCCTGTTCTCTACTAAAACAAACTAGGACTTCTTGAACAAATAAATGATTCCAGGGCTGGGGCAGGGATTCCCCAGGAGACCTGTGCGGCCGTAGGGCAGCAGGATATGCAGAGGGAAAGGAGCCGAGGAAGAGTGTGATTCCCGGTGATGTTCCAGCCTCGGCCTGATCCCTGGGCAACTCTGGGATGTAGGGGCAGCTCTGTTCCTTCTCCTCGTGGCCAGGGAGTGAAGATCGGCCTGGAATATCTTACTGTTCCAGAAAGTAAGGACGTTCTCTGCTGAGTGCCTACTACGATCTACGAGCCAAGCATCCTCGGTGCAGGGGCAAACCAAAATGCACATGGCCCTGCTCTCACAGGCACCTGCATCCTAGCGAGGAGGGAGGGAAGAAGGGGAATGGCAAATACACACATGCTGTAAACTCGCCATCGTGGTGAGTTATGAGGGAAGGCACATGGTGTGCCGCTGACTGGGCCTGCGGCCAGTCTGTCTCCGCTGGCATCCTGGCTCCTCTGCCTTCCAGTTGGAGATTCTAAGCAGATGACTGGCCTTCTTTGTGCCTCGGTTTCCTCGGGTGTAAAATGTGAAGGAGTATCATACCTACTGTACACAGCAGTGGTAAGGATTTGTGAATTCATACGTAGTGAGTGCTCAGAAGAGTGGGGCAAGCAGAGCGATCAATAAATATTAGCTTTTATTTATCATCATGATCACAGCTATGGCAATGTCAGTATCGGCTCTGGGCAACCTGCTCAGGGAGGTCAGGGGCAGCAAAACTGGCCCTCGCTCCACTCTGAGCCCCTCGCACCCCTTTGCACATCTGTGCACCCTCCCCCAGCTCCTGCATGCTCTGCTCCTGATGGCTGGCACCTGCAGCCTTCTGCCGGGATGACCCTCGGGCTGCTAGAGCCATTTTGCCTGGGCACAGCAAGAGCTAGGAGTACGTGGGCATTTTTCTCCCCATGGTGCAGCCTGAATTGCAGGCATGTGGAAGCCTCACTCCCTGGCCACGAGGAGAAGGAACAGAGCTGCCCCTACATCCCAGAGTTGCCCAGGGATCAGGCCGAGGCTGGAACATCACCGGGAATCACACTCTTCCTCGGCTCCTTTCCCTCTGCATATCCTGCTGCCCTACGGCCGCACAGGTCTCCCGGGGAATCTCTACCTCAGTGAGTCCTGCTCCCAGGGTCGGGCCCCTGTGGGATCTAAGTCACCAAGGAAGACTCCCCGCTGGAGCCAGAGCTGGGCTGAATGGTGCCTGGGAGTAGAACAACAAGCAGAGAAAGAGCACGCCCGGAGGAAGGGCCACAGGTGTGAGCACTCTAGGGAGGACAGTGTTTAAGGAACAGAGAAACCTGGTGGGAGCCACTGTGGCCGGAGTCCAGAGGCCTTCAGGGGTGGGTGACGTGGGCTGAGGCCCGGGGTGTCGGCGGGGCCGCAAGGACTTGGAAGGTGCAGCTCACAGAATCGGGTCTTCACGTAAGAGCAACGGGAAGCCACAGGAGCAGGTATGAGACATGATCCGGTTTGGGTTTTGAAAAGACCAATAAGGCGAGTGAGCAAAGAACTGAGGGGAGAATCCCTGGAGATGAGCTGGGAGTCCCTGCGGCTGGGCAGGCGGGAGAGGTTAGTGCCACAACCAGCCTGAAGGTGGGGGCAGGGTGGAGACAGAAGTAAATGGACTTGAAAAATATTTAAGCAGCCAAAAAATGGAAAGTTATTTTCCTATTCCAATAATCATCTTTTGGTCAAAACTGTTATTGAAGCCTGTATTTACGTAAGGGTAGATTTCATGATACAGGGCTTGTAACGTAGCCACATGAGAAAAATTTCTACTAGTAAGCCAAAGTTCAGACTTTTTATTTGTTGTAACAATTGCAATGAAGAGGAAAAATCTCTCAAGTATTTAAAAATTTAAAAACTTTATTCTTTCATAGAATTCTTAAGATATATAGATGAAATCTGACAATACACGTGAATTTATAATTCTAAAAATTTCACAGCAGAAAGTATATACCTATTTTAGAGATATGTACATATCTATTAAAATATAAAGATATAAATGTATACTCCTGAAACATTCTAAAAATATAACCCAAAAAGGGAAATCTTTATCAAATATATAGAAATATACATAGGGTTTTAGGAAAAGTGATAGTAAAAATATGCAAAAATAGACCATATGTAAACACAATTTTCAAGTTTTACAAGTATTGTGTAAATCTCTATGCATTTATGAAATCATATTTTCCAATAAAATCACATAGCAAATGTTACATAATTGATCTCTGACATTTGCATGATTTACTACTGTGGTCCTCAATCCCTGGGCCACCCTCGGACTGGAGAACAGGCCGCCCAGCAGGAGGTGAGCCGAGAAACTTCATCTGTATTCACAGCCGCTCCCATTGCTGCATCACCACATGAGCAGTGGCATTAGATTCTCGCAGGAGCACGAACCCTACTGTAAACTGCGCATGTGAAGGGTCTGGGTTGCAGGCTCCTTATGAGAACCTAATGCCTGATGATCTGGGGGGGGGGGCTGAGGCGGTAATGCTAGCCTGGGGAGCGGCTGCAAATACAGATTATCGTTAGCAGAGAGGTTTGCACAATACATGTAATGCACTTGAATCATCTTGAAACCACCCTCCCCCCACTGCCCATGGAAAAACTGTCTTCCATGAAACTCGTCCCTGGTGCCAGAAAGGTGGGGACCCCTGCTTTACTATTTACCTATGCAATAGCTGGGACAATTAAAACATAGGAAGTCATTTTCTTAAAGTCATGCTGAATATTTTTAAGCTGTGACTGAACTTCGTAACATTGTCCTGCACCACAGATCCTAAATCAGGTACCATATATATTAAAGAAAATGACCGAAGCAAATTGCTATAGAACACACACATGCGCGTGCGGGCCTGTGCCGGCACACACACACACGCAATTTAAAAACTGTTCATTCATTCTCATTCCAATGCCGCAGAGGAAATGCATCAATGAAATAAAGAATTTCAGAGTCCTTTGACAAAATGATGCCACAGTGAATCATTAAGGTATTCTAACATAAGAGGTTCCTACTTCATGAAAGCCCTATTTAAAATAGAGGTATGCTCTAATTTCCTAATATTGTTTCCATTTCAATGCAGTGAAAATGCAGTTTCATGGAGTCTTGATAACGTTAACCATTATTTAGACTTGCTTACATTATTAAGCAGGCATTTCCCCCAGTAGTCCATTAAACAGAGTTGCAATAAATGGATATTGTCAGTGTTACTCCCAGCCCTTGACAATTAGACATATTAGGCCTTTTATTGGGAAATGTAAACTTACTCTTGAGAATGAGAGACTCAAACGGTGAATTTGGTAGAGCAGGAGCTGAAATGTTTAGTAAATGTTTACCTGATTAACCGACAAGTGCCCAGCCTCTCTTTCATGTCATGAAAGGTGCAAGAGAAAGCGGGTTTATGGGCAAGTCTGTGTGAGTGAAGGTGGTGTCAACAATGGTGAAGTGTAAACTAGCAGTATACCCTGTAGAGTGCTCTGCATTCCAACACTCAATCTGCTTCCCTGAGTTGGATAAGATCTTAACAAACATCATCATTTAGACAGACAGTACAGCTTCTGGAACAATGGTACACAAGAAAGAATGCAAACACCTGGGCCCGGATGTTCTTTATATGCTGTTGCATACTGTAGTTTTTGAAGTTTGCTTTCCAGTAATGCAGAAGCCAGAAGCACCATTCTTGTAGGAGAGTAAAAATTGCTGCTCTTGGTCTTGGTGGGAAAAAAAAATCTGAAAAATAAAAGTACACTCCAATTATATATCAAAAAGTGTATTTAAGTAAGAAGAATTATTAGCAAAAAATAAATGCTAAAACTAAAATTGCCTTGGGCTCTTGCCAAAGGTGTGGTCTGTAGCAATAAACATGCATAAGACCAGGGTCTCACAATTAAGTTTGAATTCTTTCATCTACTTGATTCAACTCTGTTGGTTGAAATACTTAGAATTTGACAAATTTCCTAGTGGCGCCAGGCACTTGGGGAGGAATAATAAAGTATTCATTTGGGCCTGATTCAGAAATTTCATCTGTAACTGCATGTTTCTCTAAATAGTCCACCTATCAGCAAATGCCTCTTAACTTGCAGTTGGCAAATAGGAGCTAGTTCTCAGAAAATTCTAGGAGGTGCTAATAAAAGGGCAGAATGATTAAGGCTGGGTTTAAATACTGACATCGTTCTAGAAGGCTTTGCGTTGCAAATGTCATATTTCCACTTCAGGGGATAATAGAAGTTTCTTAGGCTAACTTGATCACTTCAATAGCTTTGAATTTATTTTAATGTGTATTAGGAGAAAACTAGAATTATAAACTGTTCATTTCATTCGAGAAATTATCGCTCAGTACAAGGCTAAAGAATACTGGTAGGCCTGTGTTAATTTAAAGAAAATAATTCAGTAGTAGTAAATAGTAGTCAGTATATTAATATGACAAAAGTTGTGAGGGGGACATGAGAAATCCTCTATTGTCAAAAAAGGTCTTGACCAGCACACTACAGAAAAAAATCTTCCGTTGTACCTAATACAGGCTGATAAATCATTGACATTGTTACATGTTGCTACATATTACATACTGTAAACCAAGACCCTAGGGTCAAACACAGCCCACCACTTGTTTTTATAAAGTTTGTATTAGTATTAACATACAGCCTTCATGGGCAGAATGATGGCCCTTCATAAATGTCAATGCTCCATCCCTGGAACCCGTGACCATGTTCCCTTACATGGACAAAGGGGCTTTGCAGACGTGATTAATGTTACGGCCCTTGAGATGGGGAGATTATCCCGGATAATAGCTTGTCAGAGAGATGCAACAGAAGAAAGGAGAGATTCAAAGCACAAGAGAGACTCAACCATTGTTGATGCTTTGAGCTGGTGCCATAAACCAAGGCCCGTGGGCAAGCTCTAAAAGCAGGGAATGGCCTTCAGCTGACAGCAGCAATAAAATAAGGACCTCAGTCCTCCAACCATAAAGAACTATTAAATTCTGCCAGCAACCTAGGTTAGCAAATTAGGGAATAGATTCTTTCCTGGAGCCTCCAGAAAGGAATATTAGCCCTGCCAATGTTTTAATTTTAGCCTGGGAAGACCCGTGTCAGACATCTGACCTATGGGACTGTTAAGATGACAAATTTGTGTTGTTCAACCCACTAAGTTTTAGTCATTTGTTATGGCAGCAATAGAAAGCTAACATGATACCCCATCCATTCATTTACAAATTGTCTGTGGCTGCTTTGATGCTATAAGGCAGCATTAAGTGCATGTGACAGAGACCCTGTGGCCCAGAAAACCTAAAATACTTGCTCTTTAAAGAAAAAGTTTGTGAACCCTTGTTATTCACAGTCAAAAACCATTAACAGAAGCTAGCATCTACTGAACACTTAATTGAAGCAAGGCTCTGGAAAGAGTATTTGTTACTCACTTCAGTTTTCTGTGATGGATACTCTTTTGGTCCTCATTTTACAAATGAAAAAAAAAACAAAACCAAAAAGGAGGCAGAGAGGTTAGGTAACTGCTCAAGGTCACCCAGGGAGTGAGAGGTGAGTGGAGACTCGAACCCTAGTCTGGCGGAGTTCGGCTCACTCAGAGTACCCGGTCGTTCACGGCACCTTGCACAGGGTAAGCAACGCCCCCGGTGCTCACCTGGGGCGGCTCAGCGCTGGCGGAACGCGATGGGCAGCTCCCGGCTGGGCATCAGGATGCCCAAGTGCAGCATCTCCACGGGCTCGTTGTCTGTGGCCACGATGTCGTATTTACGGACGATCTGGAACACGCATGCACAGAAAGGCAGAATTACTCCCCTCTTCTCCTCCCTTGTGAAACAACACAGAACACAACTGCAGAATCCAGGAAGGGTTTTACCCAACAGAGAGCCAGATGGAGCTGGAGCTCTGCTAACCGGCGACCAATGCACATTCTTTTCCCGATGCCGAACGGAAGGTGCGCGAAAGGATTAATCTTTTTCTTCTCCTGAAGCCAACGTTCGGGTCTAAACTGACTTGCATCTTCAAAGTTGTCTTCACTGGACCCCAATACCTTGGTATTTAGCATCAGCACTGTCTAAACACACACAGAAACACAGAGCGTTTAAAACAACCAAAAGAGAACATGTGAGTTGCAAAATTTACAAAAGTGATTGCCTTACAAATGTAAAAATAAGCCCCCCATAACATGCATCGAGTGGTTAAAATGTGCCGAGTAATAAATAGGTAAAGAACTTTAAAATCTTGCATCACGTTCCCACAACAGCCCCATTTGGTAGAGTCTACTATTGACCCCATTTTACAGAGGAGGAAGCTGAGGCTCACAGGAGTTATGTTAACTCACTTAACAGTACACAGATAAAGGTGAAATTGGATCCAGGTTTCTGTCTCCATAGCCATGATATCTAATACTATGCAATACGTCAACTATGCACTACCACGTGTGCATTTCCAAAATCAATGTTCTGGTAAACAGTTTAGGGAGATCCGGATGAATATTTGGAAAGATGATCTTTCAAAGTGTTATAAGGTATAAAATACGCAAATTCTACTTACCCCTTTGGGTAAAGCATATTCACCCAGAACCGTTGCCTTGTCCAGAGTCCGAGTTGTGAATGGCACACTTGGGGTGAGCCTGAGTAAACAAAACCAGAGATGTAAGGTGGGCACAGACCAAGTTCTGTCTGAAGTGTCCATGGGAGTGCAGGCTGGGTTAGATAAATAAGTGCTGCAAAATTCACACTCAAAAAGGGAACGCGATCACAGCTCTTCCTAAAGGAGTTCTGCCCCTTTCTTCCTGATATTTATGTCTCTTGTTCCTTATTGTGTTAGTTAACCCCCCCAGGACAAGGCTGGTTAGCAGCTGCTAACGGCTTCCGAGCTACGTTTCTCCTGTCTACCCTTTGCGAAGTTAATGCTGTTTTCTTCTAATCCTAACATGTTTCGTTTTCCAGAAAGAGTGCAAAACGAATTTTCTAAGAGCATTTTATTCCAGAGGCTCAACAACAAAGATGTTGCTATGTCCTATTATATAAGACTATGGTTCTCTTGCAGAACTTTCCTCTCCTGGTCTTCAATCATGCCCTGCTCTTAATCAGTGCTCGTAGCATTCATTACAAGACTAGCCTTATTGATTTAAAGGGGAGGACATTGAGTTTCTAAGATTTAATAGGATTTGCCCAAATGATTTAGGAAATGAGTAATAGAAAGAGAATATAGCCCCAATGCTCTTTCTTTGCAGCTTGATAAATGTTTATAATTAACTGGGGAGCTGTCTACGAGGGGGGCAGACTTCGCTATCTATTTAAGAGAATTCATATTGGGCCAGACGTATGTTTTTACCTCATAGATTCTTTCAGACAGGCTTTTAAATATGGCATGTTCTTCAAATCCTCTGCCCGTGGCATCTGATTCTCAGGCAAAACACTTTGAATTTCCTCAAGAAGCTTTTGTTGCACTTGGGGATTACGGGATAAATTGTAGAGAATCCACATTAAGCTGTTTGCTGTCTGAAAGCCAAAGGGAGACAGATTTGAGTTTTTGCAAATAAACTGCCTTAAACTGCTATCGGCTGAGCAAAAGGTGATGCCAACCACCCGGCTCTACAAATATATTAGTGACTGCTCTCTCACAGGTCCGTATGTGCTGCGCCTTAAACAAATCCAATATACAAAAGGTCAGATTTATTTTACAAAACATATCCGTTAAGGACAATTTATTTACCGAGGGAACCAAAATAGAATCTTTTAAGTGATCAGCTGCAGCAGGACACTTAAAATACACAGTTTGATACAATAATCGTTTGAACACAAATGAGTGCATGTAATACTGGTGAAATGAGAGTAAGATGGGTGGGTGACAGCAATGCCAGTTCCCAGGTCGTGACGATGTTCTCTTACAATGCAAGATGTCGCCAGTGGGGGAAAATTGGTGAAGGATACAAGGCATCCCTCCCTATTTTTTTCTTAGAACTCAGGTGAATCTACAACTATCTCAAAATAAAACCATTTAATTAAAAATCAATGTAAATATTGAGTCAAGAGACAGGAACAGAGATCGTTGGAGTATTGTTAACGAGAGGATTTAAAAATTTTTTTATAGTGCAAATGCATAAGAAACTGCATTTCCGGGATTTCAAAATTCTTTTGGCCACACTCTGAAAAGCTACCATAAAAATACAAAGGCGTTATCTGCATTCAGGGTTTCAGCCACAGGCAAAGAGCCGTCCTAGGAGGGTGCCGACACCAAAATAAGACATTCTAGCATCTAGTTGAGTGTTTCAAGGAACCGGCCACAGTTTCTGACCATGGCCTTTCAAATGGTATCCCTGATTTCCTTTCCAAAGGCAAAAGAAGAGAAAAAATATTGGCGGAACCAGCCAGTGTAGCTTTTAGCTACATAATATTCACCACTAGTAGGCATATGTATTTTTTTTTTTTTAGGCCTTTCTTAGCTCATTTAAACCAAATATTCCCTAAAAATGGTCATTGTGTCCGCCTTCTGCAGACACGAAGACGCTGTTGCCGAATGCTATGTGCCAGTCACACAAAGGGGCAAAGTGCAAGACCACTCGGAGCCAATGGTTATTTATTATTTTTGGAAGAAGATGCCTCCAAGGCAGGTTTCCTCGTGTCAGAGGACTGGCAGCCTCAGCTGCAAATAAACTGTGGACAGCATTATTATAAGAGTCTAATTTACAAAACAGGAAGAGGGTGTAGCCACCAAATTAGATAGACTTTCACATTTCTCTGATTTTCCAAATGTGACTTTCAGAATAGCCAGGACTAAAAAAGAAACCGATTTAACCGTATCAGTGAGTTCCTCACCGCAAGTACCAAACTGGGTTTCCAAAAGGCAGATAACTGTAGCTTTCACCAAAGCCATGTAAGACAGTCTGGGCCTGTTAGGGAAATATCAGGGGCTGATTTGAGGGGAAGTGGCTTGGGAAACCTCAGGGGCACAGCCTATCCTGGCTTGACCTCCGGGGAAGAGACCGATCTCATTGACTGGTCTTCTGCATCCACTCTTCCTCTGCTAAGTCCAGTCTTCACCCACCAACCAGAGTCCACTTTTCAAAATATAAATTGATCATGGGACTCCCTTGCTTAAAATGCTGCAAGAGCTTCTCATCACAGGTGTAAATAAATCCTAATGCCTTACCAAAGTTCACAAAGCCCTGGCAAATGTGGCCCATTCTGACCACATTTGCTAGTTCTCCAGCTCCATCCCTCTTTCTGCCCCAGGGCCTTTGCATGTGCTGTTTCCAATACCTGGAGATCTCTATTCCATCATCCTGATGGTTTCCTCCATGGCCCATACCGCTATCTGGAATAACCACATTGTTTGTTTACGTGTCTACTGTCTGCCTTCCCCACTAGCATGCAAGTTTCATGAGGATGAGGGGCCTTTGTCTCTGCTTCATGGTGGTCTCTCAAGAACCTGGAACAGTCCCTGGCACAGAGTAGGCACCCAATAGTTCCTTATTTCTTTCATTTGTTCAATAAGTATTTACTGACCACCTCTTTGCTGAGTACTGTTCTACATCCTGGGAATACAGTGGCAGACAAAACTAGGCCATTGCCCTCGTAGAGCTCATGTTCCATTTGGAAAGAAAAGAATAATGGGTGAAGCTTTACTTTGATCACTCTAAGGAGCCTCTTGGGGTCAGTGATTCAACAGGGAAACGTCAGGGGCTGATTTGAATGAATTCCCACTTTTAACAGCCTTCTGGAGCACGAGGAGAAATGAGAAGGTTGTTATAGTCCCTGATGTAGAAAACCCTTTTTCCTTCGGACAAGAAATACTATGGAAGGAAGGAAACGTGGGGGAAAAATGAACTTGTCCACACTCTGCTTAGAGGCTTTAAGGTGCAGGAACTGCTGGGCTGAGAGGACCGTGAGCAGGCGTCACTCCAATCGCAGCTCAGAAAAAGGTCCGAGACAGTTAAACCCACCTGAACGCGAGCGCCGGCGTTGGCGTGTGGAGTTTGGCTGTGCTGGGTATCACTTGGGGTACCAACCGCATCAGACGCACAATTTTGGTATTCGAAATTAGCTGTTTCACTTACGTTAAAGTCAAGTTTTCCCAAACTCACTATGTTTACAATTTTAAGCAGCAAAAAGATTATTGGCTTGAAAAAGCATTTCAATTTTTTTTTTTTCAGCCACAATTAGCTACTTTGGGGTAACATGAGCAATGAATCAAAATTATCTCTGATTTTTAAAAATCTAGATTATCTGTCCTGTTAAGGCTGGGAACTTGACTGCTTCTGAATTCCCACAGCAGCTTGTGTGTTTTTCAGGCGCTGATCTGCTCCTGCTTTGCATTTTCATCATGGGGCAGGTGAAGTCTCCTCCTGCCCTATGCCTGAGCACAAAAGACTGTGCCCTAAGCCCCCAGCGGCATCTAGTGTAAGACTGTTCATTTTTGCTAAACTGGTGCTTAGTTAATCCTGGTGGAAAAAGGAAGTTACATCACTATTTAAAATTTGTCATGAAAGAATCGTACAGACTCTGCACTTAGCAACGTAACACCTGGCCCACCCTTACCGTTTCCACGGCGCCCAGCTGGAGCTCCGTGACGGCGGCGTACAGTTCTTTCTTTGAAAGCTGATTGCGGTGGTAAATATCACAGAGGAAATCTGCGCTCGGCTGTTGAGAATACTTCTCTAGCCGGTGGTCGATGCAAGATTTGACTGTCGGGGAAGAGAGAAAAGAAAGGACGTCAGTTGAAAATTAGGATGAGGAAAAGGACAAAAGGAAACCTAAGACCAGAGTCCTTTTTGATATCTCTAACGGTCTTTTCAGGGACACTGAGAATTTGTAACATAAACTAATACTGCCTTCTTGTTAGGTCGGCCAGGATTGATCAAGGCCCACAGAGGAAGGCTTTGCAACCTTAATGTGCGTAGAAGTCACCTGAGCATCTTCTTAAAACGCACACTGTGAATCAGGGGTTTGGGGTGGGCCTGGGAGTCTGCATTTCTAACCAGCTCCAGGTCACTTTTGAGCAGCAAGAGCTCAGAGCTTGGAAGAGACCAACATGAAAGGCAGTGGGATTTGGGTTCACTTTCAGAATCAGAACTTGGACCCAGATATTACCAAACACAACACACATCACACACATGCCCAAGTACAGTGCCCATGCATGTTGACAATAATAGTAAAAATTTCTTAATGTAAATAAATTCTAGGCATGTGTCTCCTTCCCTTCAATCTATCATTCAAGTAACCACCAGACTAATTATAATGTGGATAATGATAATGATGATCACATATGGTAATAGCAGTTAAAGTCTAAA